AAACAGAAAACACATTACAGGAAAAACAGAAAACACATTACAGGAAATAATAATAATATATAAATATATATATATTATATAATACATATATAATAATAATACTAATAATAATAATAATGATAATAATAATATTAGTAGTAGTAATAATAATAATAATAATAATAATAATAATAATAATAATAATAATAACGAATGGATGGATGCAGGTTATTAGAAAAGCTCATTAGGAAAAAAGAGTATTTCTTAGATGATAGCGGGTTCATGCTAACATGCTAACACATCCAGCTAGCTAACACTTTAGAATAAAAACAGTTTGTCAGGGTTAGATTACTCTCACCTTGCAGGCGATTCGGTGTGGACAGAACTTCCCAAACCCCAGAGGAGGAGGAATCCTCCTCAGGAGAGTGACCACGTCCAGGTGCTTAATGCGCCCCCTACAGACAAAGGGAAGAACTACACCTCACACAGGTGAACGGGAGGAAATAAAAAAACTATTATAATTGTTTTTTTTATTTGTATTTAGACTGTTTTCTGTGTAGTCCAGTTCTCTGAGCTAAAAACAACAATGATTTCCTCTAAACCAGGGGGGTCAAACTCCAAAACTCAGGGGGCCTAAATGTAAAACCTGAACAAAATTAAATAAATAAATTAAATTAAATTAAATAAATGAACCTTTTAATATGGAACCAAACGAATTTTGCTTTATCACTGACTATGGAACAAGCAGCTCTTATTACATTATATTTAACTTAATAGTGGAGGCATGCAAAATCAAAATCCAAATAAAAAAAACACATCAATGGCATTTATTTATGAAATAAGATTTTAAAACATTTATTACAATAAATATGTTATATTACAATATTATTATAATATATTATAACCACAGTTTGACACCCCTGATCTAAACCATCAACAGGAAAATGTCTCCTTATTAAACACTACAGTATTTGATTTGATCAATCCATACTGGTTTATTCTGATATGGACCACAGGAAAACTGGAAATGGAACCAGGTAAAAAAAACTAAGAAAATGATTAAATAAAAAGAACACCCTTAGTGTTATATACGTAAACATTAAGTACGTACGTGGCTTCAGGATCGTATTCAGCCCAGATCTTTTTGAATTCGTCCAAGTGTTGGGGGCCCAGAATCGACCAATCACGCGTCAGGTAGTCAAAGTTATCCATGATGACGGCCACAAACAGGTTGATGATCTGTTCATGAAAAGAGACAAAACCATTGGGTTTTTTTTATTGCACAGACATTTTCTTCTCAAAGGATCTTTATTTCCCTCTGAAGAAATATTGATACTCATAAATGAAATTTTAGGATTCAACTACTTTGTGTAATTGGCTAAGATTTTTTCAAACTTACTAACAAATCATATTGCTCTAAAACTGTTTGGAAATTCTATATATTTATGAGCCACAGTGATAATATGATTTCTTACTTTTCCCATAAACTACAAACCAAACTCCAGATCCAGATAGATCCAGATTTGACCCCTTGCTGATTTTTCAGGTTTGTCCACTTACAAAGAATGCTGATTTTTCCTCATCAGATTGTTATCAATTTTTATAAATTCATATGATGTGATTTTCTGGAATTTTCTTTGGGATTCTGTCTTTCACTGTTAGAATGTACATATGATTAAAGTTATAGATCGTTGCATTCTTTGTAAGTGGGCAAACCTGCAAAATCAGCAAGGGCTCAAATACTTATTTCCCCCACTGTAGATAGATAGATAGATAGATATACATATAAATAAATAATTAATTATTAAATAATGGCCATGCATTCTTGGTATGAATATGTGAATGTTTTTTACCAGAAAGGCGCAGAGCATGTAGAAGCTCATGAAGTAGATGATGGCGAAGTTGGACCCGCAGGTGAATTCCTCCCCGGGCAGGAAGTCGGATTTGGGGTCGCACTTTTTCCCGTACATGCTGGCCAGCATCACCTCGTGCCAGGCCTCCCCGGTGGCACATCTACGGAAAAAATAATCCCAATCAGAAAAGGTTTTACTTTTTTTTTTTTTTTTTTTTTTTTTTTTTTTTTT